AAGTGGCACCAGGCCCTGAGGGGTTGCTGAGTCACCTCCAGGCAGACTGTGATGAGCACTGCCCGCCTTCCATCTGCACCCCCTTCCCCTGCTCGGGTACTTGATGTATTGTTTCTATAGATGGGCACAGGCATAGCACTCAGCTTTTAGAGCTGGATAAGTGGACTCAAGTGTGAGCCACATGAGTCGACTGAGCTATGCGACCTGCGGCAATTCACATAACTTCATCTACCAAGCAAAGACAAGAGTATCTTCCACACACACAGCCTTGTTGGGAAGGGTAAGTGAGCACACGGCATTCTTCCTCACTGCAGCGCTGGGCCCGTGCCATCCTCCCCAGCTCCAACCCACCTTATACAAGTTCCCCCAATTGCTACAGAAGAGCAGAGTGGCCCTTTGCTAAATGTCCTTCCAGCTCAAGTTTTTATATCGAGCTGTGTGTCTCAGCTGAAAGGGCAATGAAAGCCAATTCAGGAAACATGCTGTCCCTGACATGTTCCAGGGCTGGACGGCCAGCCCTTTGCAAGGTGTTGGTCTGACTGACTGGGAACAGATCCTCCTGAAGTCCCCTCTATTGGTGGGATTCCATGCACCCTGTCCTGTGATCCAGGGAACACCCGACTGTGGCTCAGGCACCCCAGGGCCAGGAGGACAGGGCAGGGCCAGGAGTACGCACATCTCAGAGGTCAATGCCAGGCACTTCTGGTTGACAGGAACTGCATAACTACAAGTAAAGGAAGGTGAGTCATCTGTAGAAAGTTACCCCACTCTTCCAGGCAAACAAGCCCCTGGAGGGGACTGGAGATCCTCCACGCCTGGCCAGCCTCTTGCTCCTGTGGCTGGGTTCTTGTGGGTCTGCAGTGGGTGCTGGGCATGGCCTTCTGACGTCACTGCTGGCCACGACTCCCCAGTCTCCTTAGAGAGCCTGCCACTCTGATACAGATCCAGGGGCCCCACATGGGATACTGACGGGGCAGGTGAGCCTGCGGGCTGGCCAGCGGGCACGTGGGCTGTGCCTTCATGGTTCTGCCCAGGCCCTCGCAGCCTCTGCCCCACCCCTCTCCGTCCACCATCCAGACACAAGGCCTCTCCATGTTCATTTTTATTTAAAGACTCGGAAACACAGGCATCATAATTTGTCATTACTGTCAATTCTCCCCAAATCCCACACTGACATTTGTGCATAACAAAAACACTGGGTGTGTGTGAACTGTGCAAAGTACAAAGGATTTCCCAGCCAGTCAGTCAGCTGAGCTGGCGTTGGGTGCCCAGCCTGGCATTCACTCAAGAGGCTGCCCACCATCCCATCTGCTGCCTAGCTCCCTTGGTCCTGGTGGCGGGGCTGTCCCTTCTGCTTGGTCTGCTGACCTTACTCAGTCATGGCTGTGGACTGTACTGTGCTTTTCAAAGCATATCACCTGGGCCACCAAATGGAACTGCTCAACTGAGACGTGTACATTTTGGGGCCAGGATGGAATGTGAGGGGTTCGAGCAAAGTGTTGGTTTCATCTTAGTAGCCAAAATGTGTGTGTCCTTTGAGGCAAGATGGCCCAAAGGGATGGGCTAATTCTGCCCCTGCTCATGTCCGCGGGCTATGTCATCAGGAAGGCTGGAGGGCCTGAACGCATGTAAAAGACTCAGCCAAAGCCCTGCTTTCTGGCAGCCACATCTGCTCCAGGAGCCCCACCTGCGAGCAGGCCCTGGCACTGGCTGGGCCCATTCGTTTCCCTTTCCAGGGTCGTACCAATGCCCACTCCTGACTCGGCCACAAGAAGGGCAAGCTGATGCCTTCCAAAGACACCTAGTTCTCATCTTAGCTGTCTACGGTGAGGTGGGGTGCTCGGCTGGGAGCGGCCAGCTCACCCACCATCACTAGGTTACTGAGCGCACCCCCACCTCCCGTACCTCAAGCACCACAGGGCAGGGGCTGAGAGGATCCTGCTGCTTGCGAGCTGCCCTTGCTTTTAAAAAAA